TTTGAAACAATTTCATATAATGATTTCATGCGACCATTTCATGCTTTGAAAAGCTTCAATTTTTGAAAGCTAAAATAATGATAAACAAACTTAATGCTAAAAGATACTACTTTGTGGTAAACCACAGGAGGAATAAAAGAAAAATCAACAGAAAGAATATGTGCTCTGAAAAAACCCTTGACTCCCCCCTGCCCAATAACTTCTGAAAGACTAAGCACCACATACAAGGTCACATTTAAAATGCTTATTTTTGCTCAATCTTTCCATATTTCTCAGGTTTATGAAGAATTTTTTTCTTGAAGCCTTATTTAATTGCTTGAACACCTGAAAGAAAAACCTATTTAGAGCATTAAGCATTTTTTTAAGGATATGACTCAATAAACGCATTACAGGATCATCTGCAATACACTTAGGGTGCACCTACAGAAAGACATCACGCTGATCTGTTACAAGCACAACTTAATACTCTGCTAGGGTATTTTTTTTTGGTCATATGAAAGTATGAGAGAAATTTAAGATAATTTACAGGTGGAAGGACAGACAAATCAGGTATGTGTCAATTAACACTACGCTCTTAGATTTTGGGAACTGCGTAGTTTTTCTATTTTGCACAAGCTCATCAGTAAGTCTGGGCATTTATGTCCTTAGTCCATTTATCTAAAAACAGAAAACAGTTCGCCTGTTGCCTACTGAACTGCATACTGAACAACCTCTAGTACGATTAAGTGGCACTATCATACAACCAGATAATTAGCCAAGAGGTCGGCAAGAAGGCCTTTCAAGAGCCAGAACAGTGATAATAACTAGAAAGAAGAGATTATCAGTTCTCAGGAAGTAAAAGGGTTGTACTAAAAAGTGACAAAGCAAAATGGGAGGGGGGGGGGGGGAATCAAAGGATGAGAAAGAGGTGGGTGGCAAGTCCCAAAAGGATAGCATTAGGCTTGAGAGGCTAATCTTCCTGTGCTGCCTCCAGCTAAAGAACAGAAAAAAGCTCTGTTCCTAACTCTCTCCTAGGTGAAGCTTCCCTGCAGGCTTTATGAAACCCTCCCAGAAGTGTCTAACAGAACAATTTACAAGAACAGAAAAAAAGTATGGGGAAATCAAGAAGAGGTCAACTTCTCTGTTGAGACTGAAAACAAACACAAAATTTCAAGCAGTATCTACTAAAGGGGGAAAAAAAAAAAACGACTGAGGAAAAACTCAGATTTTAGAGGTATTTAACATCTTGCCACAGAAATGAAAAGTGCAGCCTCTCCTGCCTGAGGGGTCCTGGGGGTGTTCCAAGTCATAATCAAAGCAAATGTGGTAATGAGTTGGTAAAAAGACTGTATTACGGCTCTGATTCCTGTCAGCTTTCACAACTTACTGTCCTGTTACCACAGACATGCAAACAGGTTGATGGGAGGAAGCAACAGACCCCAACATGGCTAATGCCTCCAGAGTCGTCAGCTGAAAGTTTAGCTCTTCAACGATTAACATTATGTTGCATACTCCAACTAGACGAGGCCACAACTCTTTGCTCCGAGTACTTGCTAAATTACTTCCCATCAGTGCTAAGCTCCTGCAAAAACACATTCAGCAACAGCAACCATGCATTCCACGCTGCTGACACATTTCCATGTAAGAATGTCTACCGTATACCCCTCTGCACCCACGCAGTGCCTTAGAAAACGGCAGCATGGAAACCCACTCCCCATAACCCGATGGCACAGTGCAAACTAGTAGCTGATCTGCAATAGGATCCACAAGACAACTAATATATCACCACGCACCTAAGCTTTCCACTTGTTTGGTTTTTAAAGACAGACCACTTAACAGAGGGAGTCCTAGTTCTGATGGTAACACTGGTCTGAAGTTAGCTTTGCTGTTGATGGCAACACTAGGAATGAGACAACCAAAAGTGTTTTCACACTTTTATGGCACAGAAAGGGCTGGGAAAAAGCTGCTTTGAAATGAACTTTAGGTTGTGAGCTAAATACCCCTGATATATAAAAGCATATGAGGATGGATTTGAAAATTGTTATTTTTGTGAAATCTTTTTTGTAAATAAAGCAAAAATATTTTAAAATGTTCATATTTTTAAAAAGATGCAAAAATCAGAACAGACAAGTACAAAAAGCTAGACTTTTGGGAAATATAAGCAGCCTTCTCTTTTGTGCAAAAAATGAAAAGCCAGTAGAACAACAAAACACAGATGCAAACAAGAAAAACATCAAATGTTATTTTCAAAGGACAAACTGCAATCTTAAAGCATCTCCTTAAAAATTCTCAATATAAATAATGGACTTTTATTGTTCATTTACTGCAAGGTTAGGCAGCCTGATATGATGGATGAACTGTCAACCCCCAACTAAACTTCTACAATCCATCATAGAAAGAGTGGAAATTTCACTCAAAGTGTCAATAAACCTAAATGATGAAGTGCAAAATACTTTACAGAGTTCTGATCATTTTTTAGAACCTGCATTCACTGCAAAATTTCAGAAACACTGCTCTTCCCCCACTTCCCTCCCCTTCTCCCTGGAAGTCATAAAATGCAGGTGTACATCTTGATTTTTAACTCAATGATACCATAGAATCACAGAACAGAAATGAAGTTTTCATAAAGGTCTAACGCTAGGGTAAAATGATGTTTACAAATTAAGCTATTTTACTCTACCCAAACATCAAAAAGATCACCAAGATTTTGTAAAGATTTCTGTTTAACTAATCAGTTATTCAGAAGTGGCCACATCAAGAAAATTAACCCAGGGCTGCACTGGAGCTTGGTCTGAAATCAAAGCTGACCCTGCCCTGAGGCAACTAGAATTATTCCATGATTCTATGACAACTAAAACCAGGAGGGTTTTTTTTGTGAATGCACAATAAAATGTATAGATTTCCATTTAATAAAAACCAAGAGATTACTGTGTCTTTACTTAATTTGGTGATAATTGACAAATAATTATGAAGTATTTGTACATAGCTACTAACACTAATAACAATGCTTTAAGTTATACACATGGGAAAACTTCACTTTATAACACCAGCAAATTCTTATGCATCCTGTTATACAGCAGAAGTGGTGGCAAATGCAGCAGCATGAACTCACACGCAGACCCATCTAAAACCAGGTATTACGTTGCTTGACATAGGTGCCCACGATTTTGTTATCCGCTTAAGTGTTTACATTACACAGCAACATATTCTTTGTGTCCATATCAGAGGAAGTCTGCATCTCTTCTTAATACACACATGCAAAAGCCAAATAAACCAGTTGTAGCAGACTTATCACAATATATTAAAAATTAACTACCAATTATCCCTTTGGACTTAATTCTATGATGTGCTGTGACTTAAAGTTAAGCATGAAACTCCCAGCGGAAGTATCACAATACACTAGACTACAAAAATTTTAGTTTTTACTACAGATCTCAGAACCTAATACAAGCTTTTGTCAAATTTGATGAGGATATTTTAATAAATTGGTAGAAGGCATTTAGAATTGATGTTGAATGTAAAAGCATATTACTGCAATCATAAAATCTGTAAAAATTAGATCATCCTGCCTTTGCTTATCATTTAGTGTTTAAAAACTCAATGCATTACTTTAATCCAAGCCACCACCAGACTTTCTCATCTGTACCTCATCTTTATCCCAATGCCCTGCCTAACAGTAACACTACAAAAATCCTTCTATTTGATTCTTTTCTTCCCTATTCCAACAAAAGAAGCAAGCTGTGCATCATAACTAAGTCAAATCAAAAAGGTATCCTCACATAGGTACCAACCTAAACACTTCTAAATATTCATGTTGGAATACCTAATTTGTTTGAGCTTTAAACACATTCATAACATTTTTATTTCAGAAGTCGCTCACACCCTTACATGAAGTATGTTAAATAAAAATATTTAGGTATCTTCCTTGACTTATACTTCAAAAACAGAACACAAAACACAACATAAATTGCGTGGGCCCTTGCAGAAGGAAAAAAAAAAAAAAAAAGAGACATTTTTCATTAATCCAAAAATCAGTGTTTCTCTGTTTTCTCACAACTACCAGATACTGAATGACCAAGAAAAAAAAGCCACAAAATGAATGTGTATTTACCTAAATTCATACTGAACAATGTAGGCACAACTTCAAAGAAGTGTTTGAAAGATGCTCTAGTACTGAGTTTAATTCTAAAGCTCAGGCTGAAAACTTTTTTTTTACCTTTTCTTTCTTTTCATATTGACTAGTGTTTGATAAACAAATAATACTCAATTGAGTGAGATCACAGACTCAAGATTTGCTGGAGAGTCTTCACTCAATTTAATGCAGCATAGTCTGTAATACTAAGATGAACAAGCTTGTGTTTGCTGTAATTAAAACTCCCCTCCAATCAAATTCCACACTTTCTAGAATTAGTGTTCTTTTGGATATAAGTCATATTAACTTACGTAAAATAAAAATACTAAGTTGCATACAATAAATAAAACAGATGCAGTAAAAACACTGGTTTTCAGATTCTAATGCTGCATTTGCTCCCCCTCAGTCTTCACACGTAAAGTTCATGAACTTCCCTGTTTGAGAAACTCTGTTTGGCATATGAGCTCCTATATGTTTATTACAGGAGCTATAGTCCACCTTTCCAACATCTATTTTGTTTTTCACTCTTTTTACTAAACTCAGAAAAGCTCTTCTGAGAATAGTGACTGCGTCATTCTTGAGCACAGTGGTAACAACATGTCTGAACAGAAAACTCTTATTTCAGAAAACGGACTAGAGAACAAAACAGAATGACCCCAATGCTAAGGCTCCTTATCTTGCCCTTTCCTCATCTACCTGTATTATACCATAACACTGTTACTGGAGTTTTACATCCATCTCTCTTTACAAAAAGGGCTCATTGACACCTCTGTTCTGCAGAAATGAATGTTTCAAGGCAAGGACTGATGATAAATGAAGCTTAACTAATGCATTGTCTATTAGTCCAATGAGATACTGACCGTATATTAAGAAACTAAAATTGTCTTACCGTACACTTTGTGCTCGTTGTAATGGTCAGGGTGAAATCTGAAGAGAATTCCAAGTCTGGAGTGGATGCAGTATTACAGTCAATACGCTGTGGAAAGGAATAATACAGTTCTGTCAGTAACAGTGCTGAATTTACATTAAGACCTTCCTTTGGATGAAGGCTGTTCGGTTGCTCCCATAACAAGACAACTTTTCTAGGGCAATACTAATTCAGCTCTCCAAAAATGGGAAGAGACTTAAAAACCACCTAATCCTATCTGCCAAACTGACAAAACACCTAAAACCCCTCTTCCCCAAATGCCAAAATAAAGAGACATTTTGACTAGTAGCGGTATGGAACTAGATATAGTAGCTCGCTCTGTTCAAGGAACATGCTTTTCATGACATCTGCCCATTATTGAGAGTAACGAGCTTTCACAGGCATCTTCACCTGTTTTACTCCTTGTTCATGTAGCCACATGGTAAACTACAGTATGAAACTGATATGGGTTAAAACTGGGCTTTTTTGATTTGCCAGGTTAGTTTTGTATGGATCATAGAATAATTGAGGTTGAAAGGGATCTCTGGAGATCCCCCCCGCCGGCTCAAAGCAGGGTCAACTAGAGCAGGTTGCTCAGGACCATGTCCAAACGGCTTCTGAGTATCTCCAAGGATGGAGACTCCACAACCTCTCTGGGCAACCTGTGCCACTGTTCAATTGCCCTCACAGTATAATAGTGTCTCTTGATCTTTAAAGGCAACTGCCTGGAGTTCAACATGTGCCCGTTGCTTCTTGTCCTGCCCCTGAGCACCACTGGGAAGAGTCTGGCTCTACCTCCTATACTCCCCCCACCACCAGGCATTTACACACACTGATAAGATCCTTCCCGAACCTTCTCTCCTCCAGACAAAACAACCCCAGCTCTTTCAGCCTCTCCTTCTACCACAGATGCTCCAGGCCCTTCATCACCTTTGCGGTCTTTCACCGGACTCACTCCACTACGTTCACCTCACTCTTGCACTGGGGAACCCAGCACTGGGCACAGCACTCCAGAAGTCATCTCCCTGGGGTACAAGAGAAGGTTCACCTCTCTTGACCTGCTGGGGACAAGTCTTCTTCCTAATGCAGCCCAGGAGGCTGGCTGGCTGCCTTTGCCATAAGGTTGTGTGTTGCTGGCTCACGGTCAACTTGGTGTTGACCAGGACCCCCAAATTCTTTTCTGCAAAGCTGCTTTCCAGCCAGTTGGCCCCCAGCCTCTTGTTGATGCGTGGGGTTGTTCTTCCCTCCCCTCTGCAGGATTTTGCATTGCCCTTTGATTGTCCCAAGCCCTTTGCACAGGACCCTAGTTGGCCCATTTCTCCAGCTGATGGAGGTCCTTCTGAATGGCAGCACAACCGTGTGGTGTATCAGCGTGTGAAATATCAGAGCAACACAACAGAGGAGAAAAAGCACACGAGGCAGAGAACTGCTTCGCTGTTTTGAAATTAACACAAAACAACGCCATCCAGGATAACAATGATAACATTGTCAAATCAAATTGCAACTTGCATTTCAATATTCTAACTTTTTATTTATATACATATATACACAAAATCAGAGTTTTTAAAGAGCAATAAGCTTCAGTTTTCAGTTGTTCATAAAAATTCCACCACATTTTTTCACTGTATGAAGTTCTTTAGTTTACATACTCAGTTAAAATGCTCTATCCAAGAACATCATATACTGCTGAAGTTAAATGTCATACACATTATTAACCAATATTTCTTGATGCTGCCTCATCTTTCTTGAGGGAATGTTTTGCTTCCTGAAAAGTTACATTATAAACTATACAAAACAAGCAGCAGCTAATCTGAGCAAACACACTAAAATATCTTCTGTAATAACCATATGATAAATTGGAACATTTTTAAACTTTCCCTCAAAAATATAATCCATTTGTTCTGTGGAATGGATATTGATTAAAACAATTCACTTATAATGCCACTGTTGCTCAACTCATTAATTTTACTACTTTGTACTGTAACTCCAGCAAACAAGCTCACACACTGACTTTAGGTTATTTTGAAAACCACGATTGCTACTGAGAACAAACGAGTGTAAAACCATTAAGCATATCAGTTATGCGAAATGCTGCATGATGACAAAATTTGCTAAGCACATACACCTGAGCTGGACAGTGACTGCTCATGACAGTACATATTAGAAAGGGACATGTACTATTACCAGTAAAGCATTTTGCTTCTAAAATGACAGCAGCTTATAGACTACATTGGGCAAATTTAACTATAGTTATTATTATCAGCACTTTCCAAATGTTGTTTTAATTTATTTGTTTGCCTAACAAACTGATAGAGCTCAACTTATCCATGCAGCTGTTAATTTAGAGCACGTAATATGGTCTTCATTTTCTGTATACCAAACTTGACCTATTTGCAAGAAATATTCAACTACACTTCCACTTGAATCAGAGCATGCAAAATGTTGTTAAAAAAATGGCAGGTGAGAAAAGTGCCTATGCCTCATTCACTGCACAGTCAAACCTGTCAGGTGGCTAACAATTACGGCCTCAGATTCTTGATCTCAGTAACTCTGTTTTGTGCACATTCATTCACTACGGGTGGAATTCATTGTCCCTATAATGACAGGTCTACAAAGTATATTTCAACAACTGAGTTGATCACTCTGCCCTCTCCTTACATTCAAGGAAAACAGACGCTTGTAAGCCTCAAGTCACACAACTTATTATAGGTGTCCTTAGGAATTTTATTTCACTGAATCTAGTCAACAAGGTCAGAGAATAAAATGTAAGACACATCTGTAATGACTTCATCATCTATGAATAAAGAATCCTGAAGTAAAAAAAAAAAAAAAAAGAAAAGATCCTCCAATGAAAGATCTTTAAAGCCAACTAGCTTGACACAGAAATAGATAAGGCAGCTCCCTGCAACTCAGTACACTGACTGAGGCGAAGAGGGAAGCGAAGTAGAAGAAAAGACTATATTTCAGGGTTTTTTTTTTTTGTATAGTTTAAATTTCAGTTACACAACTTGTAACTTACTAAAATGCAAGTCAATTTGGGTTTGGATAGAAGAAAATGACAGAACAATCTAAATATGGGAAGATTACTTTATTAAGAGCTCAAACTTGGTAAAAAAAAGCAATTAATACCAGTCTTACATTCTTAACACCAAGAACCTTATTGCATTTGTATCATTTGGAAGATGCTAAAGTTCATGTGTGAGTGTGTGTGTATTTTTTTTTCCCCTCCTCCATAAAAAAGGGAAAACTCTAATCTGACTACTAAAAATTTAAGCAGCATGGTACCTTAATGACACTGGCCGTAGATATCAGTGTGTTTGGATCCAGCACCTCCACAACAGCTTCTGGAATTACAGCCTTCTTCATGCAAGACATGTCAAAGCCATATACATCTTCCCAGAAAAGTAGTTTGTCCACATGTTTTTTCATATCCCCAACAGCTACTAGACTAATGGTGCAAATGTCAGGATAAACTATAACAACAGAAACAGATTAGTGAAATTTTATTCTAGACATGCATAAAGAGGAATTTTTTTTTTCCTTTTCTCTTTAAGTAATTAACATCTTAAAAGAACAAATAAAAGGACTTTTTTCACTCTTAGACAGTACACTTTTTCTGCTACTTTATTTTCTCCCATTTGTCCACAGAAGAGACTAGACATTGGAACTTAGTTTTCCCACACTACTCTGGTAACAGTATTTCCTGTTCATGACAAAATATCTTTGTAGTTGAATGCCACCGCCAGGAAATGACTGGAAACTTGATGTCTGAAGAAAATAGTTTGGAACATCCTATTCTGGCTTCTTTACAGAGACTGACCTAAAATGTATTAAATAACTGTAGACAGACACCCAAAGGAAAATTCAGGTGAGGGCTCTGCAATAACAAGAAACCTCGGTGAAAAAAGCCTTATTTCCAGAAAAGAGCAAATATTCTTACTCAAGAGTTTTATTCCTGTTTCTTATCAGCTCAGGCTGGTACTTGCCTTACAACCTAAAAAATTATTTGTGGGTACTGGAAAAGAATAACCACTCTTCATCTGCCTCTGAAGAGTATGGAAGTGACCCAACAGACAGAAGAGAACTTCCTCTAAAACTTCCCCCCCAGTTTTAGAATGACAGCTATCATTCTTACACTATCTTCACATTTGTGCTTTCCCTTCTCCCAAGAACATCTTCAGAACAAGTACTTATTTACAGCTTTTCCAAATAGTAGTGGAAGACTGACATTTGCCTTTTTAACAGCTGCCTACAGCAAAGCCAGTCAATCTCTTGGCAATCTCTATCCACTACTGATTGGAAAAGACACAAAGAACAGCTGCTATGAACATGGCTGTCTATAGCACTATCAAGTAGTAAGAGAAGCTCAATTTATATTTAGCTAGGTTTCTTTCCACAAAGAAATTCCCATGTTTTGTTTTTAGAGTTTTAAAGCCTTTAAAGCCACATACATTAAATTCTTGATCTGGCTTCAGAGCAAAATGCCTACTAATAAACACCTTAATTTATTTTATTTTTTATTGATACATGAATGTGGCAGTGTTAATAAAACTGAAGTTAAGTTTCTCCTTTCCTCCCCAAAATCTGGTGAACTGTAAAATTAATTTTGTCTTCAGCTCTGCTTGAAATCGTAGCTTATCAAAACGAGTATGGAGAAATCATTGGTATAGCACGGTAAGTCAGAAAAGCAGTATTTTTTGCCTTGTAAAATACTGAAGATAGAAACAGCAAATTGAAATTAGGCCTTTTATATAGTGAGACTAGATTTAGCCTAAAGGAAATAATCTTATAAATATTAATGATAAAGAAGAGCCTTCTCTAAAGAAGCTTTTTTTTTTTTTTACATATGAAGACATTAAAGTAAGCAACCACATCTACATTTGGAATGATTAGTTCGTACAAAGTATGAACACACTGTCACTTTTCTCACTTTCTGACTGTTAAAACAGAATAAATAAATAAATAAATAAATATCATCAAGCTTAAATTGGAATCCCATTGGTAAGCTATCATCATCCCTACTTTGCATATGAGGAACTCAAAGCAGAGGTTTCTCCAGGAACTGCCTACAATTAACTCAGCAGTAAAAAGGCAGTTTGATGAGAATCAGACCAGGAAGGCGTTCAAACTGTCTTGTCCGAAACAAATCATTTGGTTCCAGCACACCTGACAGCTGTCACAGACACAGAAAAATCAACATCTGGTGGTAGAAGTATTTGCGAGTAGTTTCTGGAGCCATCAATAAGGGATTTCCATTTCTCGAAGCTTTCATATTGCTGTTTACTAGTGTGGCAGCTGCATTATATTCGGCTTTACCTCCCAGCATTTCAAACCTTCAAGAGTCACCACTAATGCTCGAAAAATTAAAAGACACTGTGAAACAGAAAACAAAAGCAAGCGACTACAGCCTTTGAGGGAATATTTTTCAGGAAAATGCTCTTCATAGGATGCAAGGGGTATGGCGAGAAGGGGGCTGAAAAGAGACTGAAAGTCCTTAGGTTACAGAATACACTTAGAGGAGCGTGCTAGCAACACTGCAAACGAAAATGAAAACCACAGCAAAAAGTGATCAACTACTTTATAACCTTCTTTCCTTGGACTAGCCCACATTTCTGGGACATTCTGTTAACAGGAAAAAATCTACCGCGTCTATCAAGCGTGAAATATTTGAGTGGGACCATAATCAGTTTTTATTAAATCTCTTCACCCACACAGCAAATTCTTAAATCAGCAGTGGAACTCACGATAAATTATATAGAGTGCTTAAGAACAAGTAAAAATGTAAACACTAATGCTCTAATCTAATCTGCATTTTTAGTTTAGCCTATCAATACCAACAAAAACGTAGATAATGCCTGTTAAGACTTCACAAAACGAAATCCGTGTTCCACCAACAGGGCAAAGGCAAAAGACTAGAGTGACACATCAACTTCCAAATTTACAAACACACCCATGTCCAGAAGCATATGCTATACTGAAGTTTGACTGGAAATGTGAGTATGTTATCTAAATATCAGCCTAAATCATCTAAACACTGTAGAGTTGTGTAAATGTTTAAAAGCATCTGCTTAAAATTGCATTTGCCATTTCACCCGTTATCCTCGATCCCCCCGGAAATCCTCTGCTCCCTCTGCAACCCTGTAACACTTTCCTGTGCAATCCTGACAGACTTGTCATTTTTTTCTGATTAAGCCTACAATTTAATAATTATTCCCTCTCACAGGTGAAATGAACAAAATGCTGATTGGACAAAAGCACATACTCCTCAGTGCTTTCACAGATTCATTGTTTTGACCATCTGTGTCCTTCTCGACTCAGTGCCCAGAAGTCATCTGTCACTAGTAACAGCTCACGTGGTGAACAGAATACGATGGGAAATCCTTTATCCCTTAGCAATGCCTCACAAACTTCAGGACGCCGAAGGGTAAGGCAGCAATCCTCCACATATACGGAAATAATTCCAAGTGAATACCATCATCATTTTGACGTGAACAAGCAAACAGCATTACGTTTTGAACGATGCCTTCCTTACCTACGTCACCCCTCACCAACGTGCACTGCACTCAAGTGTACGCTAAAATCTGTACTCAAGCAAGTAACAGCTCTAAAGAACAAACAGATGGGTCCTGGGCAGCAAGAATTTTATGTTCCCAAAAAAAGCTATTGTATACTGTACACATTACCCTAGACAGTTTGGCATAATCCACTTCAGCATGCCAATAGACTAAATTGAAGTAACGATGATATGACTGACTGAACACAAATCTAGACATTTGGATTCTATTCCCAGCTCAATCACTGAAAGATTTGGCCAAATTGCAGCTGCTTCTATTGCTTTTTTCAGCTTTCAAACAGTCCCTGTAATAACGATCTTGGGCTCAATAGTACAAAGTGGCTTGAGGCAAAACTAAGCTTTATGGCAAATGCAGGAGTTTCTCTGATAAGGCTTCACCTCAGAATGAGCTCTTAGTTTTGGCTCATCTGAATTTAGATGTGCCCAAAGTTCTGCTGCTATTCACCTACACTGCAGAAGCGTCTGTCTTGCAAAGCTGATGGCTGAGCAACTTTCTCATGAATCTTAGGCACAGCCATTTACCTGCTATACAAACTGGCAGAAGAGCAGTAATTGTAAGCATCTCAAGGAAACTGTGTTCCATTTAAGATCTGGCCATACCAATCGGTGACTGTACAATACTGTATGCTTTGTGAAGAGTCAAGTAAGGGCCCAAGACCATTCTCAGACCACAAAGGATAAGGGTACAGCAGAACCAGCATACCCTGTCTCTCAAAGGAAACTTTGGGAGGCACAAGCCACTCGCAAACTTACCAACAATACAAATAGAGAATGAGATACTATCGCAGTTTCAATAGAGATCAAAAATTTCTGGCCTGTTTCAGAAGGCTTTGGAAGTAGTAGCTAAGCATAAAAAGATGCCTTACAATTTTAGGGGATGTCCCTAAATTTAATTACATTGCAATGTGAAATTATCAGCATATATCTATACAGAGCGCACCACAACCGTGTTTCAGATCTGGCCGGACTATTCTACATGACTGAAAACAAGAAAGCTCTTACTCTGTTGTTCAAGTGGCTTCTAAACATTTTAACACATGAACAGTAATCTCTTGCTTGTACATTCAGCTTTGTGACCAAATGTTGAACAATTGCATAAAACCCCTTTTTTCTGCTCCACTCTGTAGCATACAAAAGCTCACTGCAATCAAAGGGAAGCACTGCAGCGAGCACTGTTACACAGTCATTAATCCAATCATTAAGTCAGTGTAGTGAAACTAACTATGTGCGTGGTTAGCACAAAAGGGGAAAAAACCCCAGACTGATGACTACGATTGAAAAGGTCAATATGAAATACAATACTGACAAAGGAATTCAGCGCAAGGAATAAAGCACATGCAGAACTCGTGCAGAAAACTGCATCACATGAGGAATAAATATTTAGAGGCGTTTAAACACTGCTTAAGATGACGCTATTTAAGCTACTTAAAAGGATAAAATAACTCTACTTCAAAATAAACCCTTTTTGTTCTGTCACTTCCCTACCCTCCAAGCAGGAAGAAAAAGGGTATATTCCCACCAGGACAGAATAAATATGCTGAACTGAAACAATGCAAATCCATTAGTTATTTCATGTGGCTTCTTGTGTTTGAAGAACAAGAATGTTCGTGTCCTCCCCACGCAACGTCCCTCCAATTGACAATCCTATTGACTTTCCCTCTAATTCATCGTAGCTTACTCAAACAGTATTACATCTTACAGAATAAAGCTTGTTTTCCTCTGTTTGTAGTTACGCAGAAACTGGGAATTCAAGAGGGGAAAACAAATGTCCACATGTGTGGGAAGAAGTAGGGAGGAAAAATTTAGACTGTACTTAAAAATAAATAACCCCCTCTATTCTTAAAAACACCATTAACTTGAGCCCTTGATACCCCATTTAATGTTCTTCTATTACCCATACAGTAAATTAATGCCTTGAAGCTCATACTAATGGAAACATTTTTCATTTAGACTGGCAACTTTCTCATCCATGCATAGCTTATTCTAAGTCTCCGAGTTCATTTAGTTTCCCCCCAGAGCTAAATTTATTAAAAGAACTATGCATACCAACCTGAGCCTCCCTCTGCCAGGTACTTGTCCTTTGCATAGATGACGGAATCCAGCATTGACTCAAAGAGAAGGAAATAGCCCTGTTTATAGAAAAGGGAAAGAATTTAGAAATCATTATGCTTCTTATGTAGCCTATTCAATCAATCTACAGATAGGACTTTATCAACACAGTTTAAGAACTTTATATGCCCATGTACCTCAGTAAGAGCCAGCACCCAGCGAATTTCTGGACAGCAGCATTGTCGCTTCAGAACGTCAGTTACATAAAGTATCATCTTTAAATTTCCCAAACTGCAAGTATCTAGCACCTACTAAATTAATAAACTACAGGCAATAAATATCCCATCTACACCAACAATTGCCTGATAGAATCCTACAACATCAAAAGAAATCAAATTCAACTCAAACCAAGTGAAAAGCTGTATATATTGATTTTATAGTAATAACTCTGAGGCGCCATACAAAAAAAACCCAAGAAAATCCCTTCCCACTTAGAACTGCAAGTAACATTAAAATTGTTGTCAGAGAAACACCAAGTAGAATGCATCTTTGCTACTTCACATTCGCAACTTCGTGGTACCCTGTACCAGCTTGGGCAATGCTCACAAAGACAGGTGGAAATAAATCATATACCAAAGACATGGGTTCTCTGCATGTTCTACATCATTTAGCAGCACCTGAACTTAAAACATTCTCAGGATAAGAGTGGTTAGAACTAGATTTGCGTAGTTTTTTTGGTGTTGGGATTAATTTTATAGCAGGTTAGTCATACTGCTACACTTGTTCAGAATAATTTATTGTAAACTTGAGCCAGACATTTCTTGAAACAGAAAAAAACCTTTTCTTTAATTAAACATTTCTGAAATATAAAAAACCTATAGCAGTATTACATACAATTAGCATTTTATATATAACATCCGGTTTCTCAACTACTTTTAAGTAAAACACAAATTTCTGAGAGATATAGCCTTTTGTTTTCCAATTGATTTACTCATTTTACACCCTTCCTATCTTCCGAGTTTGAGTATGATCATTATTCTTGCTGAATACAACACAATTTCATCCACATACATATTCTTACAACATAAAATCAATTAAGACAAATCATACCGGCATACATCTTGGATTTTCATTTAGCATCCTAATTCTCATTTTGCTTAAAACCCAGCTTAGCCGTATGGCTTGATTTATACACTGATTGCCAGGATGAAAGAACAAAAACGACAACTAGAAGTCCGGACTTTGGACAAGTCCTAAAAGCCCAGTCGGCAGTAACCAAGCAAAGCAAAGCTAAGAAGATTTTTTTCTTCTTTTTTCTAAGAAGATTTTTTTTCTTCCTACACATATTTGTACAATCAGAGATTTTTTTATTTTATTTTTTTGAAGTCATGCCACACAACTGGAGATAGACAGCATTGCATGGGAACTGCACTGCAAGATACCAAGTTTACTTCAAGTTTATGCCATCTTGGATGCTTATTTTGCCTAAGGCTCTTAGAACAAAAAATGCTGGAACTAAATAGCCTTCAGAACGAAAAACAAAACTAGAAAACCAGAAACTTGAAGCGTGATGTATTTGTATTCAACAAGAGCATGGTTTGAAAATAACGGAAATGCCCTTTTCTCAACCTGTTTCTTCTGGTAACAGGACAGCACTCTGCGGGACACACGTCTTCCAAATGTTGCCTGTTCTTCCACTTTACTGCCTAAGTTTTATGAAGTCCTTAGAATAAGTCCCAGAATGAAGACTACTGCTTTGTGAGCGCTATGATTTTCAGTAAGCTTTGCAAAACGGTTGAAAAGAACAGGAGCTCCAGTTGCATCAGGCAGAAATGATTTTACGCCTTCAGCAAGCCAAAAGCACAGAATGCAACCAGAGTTTTCTTTTTTAATTCTTATTCTTGCAGTTTTAAAAATAGAGTATGTTTAGTTCATAAAAATTCTTTTCAGATGCTTTTAACTGAAAATGAGTTGTTTCCACAGTACGTTAAATGTGATGTCTAGGACATATCTTAAGACGAGTTACCAGCAAGAGTCAGGAAGTTACAAAGCGACATTTTTACAGATCAGCTCTTCACTTATTTCTTCCTGCCTTAAATGCCCATCACCTACAACATCTGCCAAACAAGTGCGAGAAGCATAGCTGGAAGACGCACCTTCTCGTGAGAAAGAGAGTGAAATTCTTACTGCCCTTTCCCCGACCTTTCCCCTCTGGCACCGTGGGTTCTCCCCCTCCTCCCAGTTCTATCTCCCCCCAATTCATTATAGCATTCCTGTAAGTTACATAAACCGTCAATGGTACTGAATCAAGTCATTTATTACTTATACCAAAGCGTTTTGCTCACTGTGCTGTGCTCATCTGTAGTGTAATTTAGAATGTAATTTCACAGGCTGCTGCCTCACCTGTAGGGGTGCCATCTGGAAAGAGAATTATACCTGACGTCGGTTCCCCGGGATGCTGTGGGGCACTCTTGCTTCCACCCCAATGTTCAGGGTTTTGTTTTTTCTTAAGCACGCATTAGCATCCTCAATATTAATTACTGCAAAGAGATCTCTAGGATACAAATCTGTGAGCCGAATATTAACAATTCCATCTTGCTAGTGGCTAAATGAAGACACATAAAAGGTGACAGGTTCTCTGTTAAAGACAAACAGAGTACACCGTATATCTTAAATGTTATGCTGTCATATTATGCATTTTCTACTAAAAAGCTGGCTATTTCTTTCTCAAAATGAACATGAAGTTCCTTATTTTTAGATTTTCAAAGCTGAAACAAAGTATTTTTTCTCCAGTTAACAACAAAACTGCATATAAACAGATTTGGACAGAAACAGAAATACGCAGCACTATGGAGTTACTCCGTTCAAGCATACATCTGCCCTATGTCACGTCTGACCAAGAAGCCAGCTACCAAAAATGCAGGAGCCCACTGACAAATCTGAATCCAGAGAAACGTGAATATCGCTCCATTTCTTATATATCCTTTACATCTGTATTTTGTGTTTGTAACAGAATTATAAAAAGCTCACAAACTTTTGATGGCTCAATATCCTACATTGTTAAATTTTCCTCTATTTTTCAAATACACGACAGCACTCTAATATTTATTTTAATTTTAATTCAAAGATACATAAAAATAGATCAAAAAGTAAGTATAGGAAGTTCTTTTAACATTAGTGCTTCAGTATTCATCATGACATTCTTCACGGAGAAAAAGAGATTAAGCTCTTTAAAAGCATCAAGACACAAGAACAACACTGAATTCTAAAGTATACCTTTGTGTGAGAATACTAAAGAAAAATGCTTTGCTTAAAACACAAATTACTTCAGATTAAAAATGCCTCTTCAGGTACATTTCCCTTAGCAGTTCCTATCAAACACCTTAGTGGAACTTGGTTTTGCCTTCACTTATTTTCTACTTATTGGTGAAAACAATATATTTCAAAAAGTGGTATTGGCATGTTTACCATAGCAAGAATTAGCAGAATTTTTAGTAGAGCACAAAAAACATGTAAGGATAGAATTGAGAAGAAATATTTAACTACTTGAATTAAAAGTGTTGCATTTCCCCCTGCCTTCTATCAAAAATCCATTTTATTATTTTCTGTAACATAACTGAACCTAGTCTGATACTCCAGATTCAGTAAGGCCCGACACTGAATATTTGATGAGATGAAAGGCAGCTATCAAATCACTGGCCCAGAGAGTGGACTTTTTTTTTATTCCCTATCAGTATAAAAAAGTGCATTATTTTCTTAAACTGAAGTTTCTAACTGCAAAGTTTCCATTGGACTACAGAGGAAAACAAGTTACAGAGGGTGTGTAAAACAGATTGGACAATGGATTCTGATTTAAAACATAAAATGTAATCTTGCATTAACAGATGCGCAAAAGTGATGCGGCCCACTCAATTTTGCAAAAAATTACTTTTTACTTGACAAAATCACCCCCCAAACCTGTGGCGCATTTAAGTGAGAAGCAGCAGCTACATGTAAATGCTTCTGCATGCTCTGCTGCAGCACCATTTCCCTCACACTAAGTCAGCCTTCATGCTGATCTCTCATGTATGATTTAATTCTAAAAAAAAGGAAATAATTTATTACTGACAGAGCAAACCCACACATTTCAAAACCACAGCTTGACTTTGCTATTATGCACACCCTGTTGAGTTCTTAAACAAATATAAGATGAGTGAGGACACCAAATAGGAAGATCTGAAGAGCAGAAAAGTGATACCGTTACTGGTGTTGGCAAAAAAAAAAAAAAAGCATTTTCATGCAAGGAAATACAATTCCTTTCTAAAAACCATTTTGCTGTAAAGAAATTAAAGCATTCAGTTACTTAGTACGCTCTTTACACAGCATTATTAAAAAAAACAAAAAAGAAAAGCTCAATTCTTACATAAAATTATACATTATTACTGTGTTATAGAAATAGAACACTTGTATTAATGCACCTCCAAATACTAACAGAAACAATAGAGAATATTAAGACAACAGAAAGACTAGTAAGTGTTAAAAAAGTGCCATCGCTGTATATCCATCATAGAAACAGGGGAAAGGAGGAAGGAGAGAAAAGATGGTTTCCAGTGTTTCAGACATGCCCACTTCCTAGTCCTTTTCCCTAGACCTGAACAGCTCCCATTCACAGCCCATCCTGATATCACTTCTAAACTATCTAACACAAAAAAAAAAAAAGGAAGAAGAAAAAAAAAATAGATATTCCCTACCTGAGCAATGATACGATTCAGAGACAAGAGCACTGGATTCTATCCTTGGTTTATTTTAATTTGAGAGTAGATCTCCTTCCCAGTTTTTCCTGGTGTAAAACTCTATTGCATATTCAGTATCATAAAGCACTGCATAAAGCAGCAATTTGAGAACGCACTGTACTCTAACACTGTATTTGAGAAAACCATCTCAGATAATTGTCTCTCACAGTAAAACCCCTTACAAACAAGAAATGCAGGTATTATTCAAGTGAATAAAACTCTCAACCCCTAGCTTTATAGTTTTAGCTAGAGAAAGGAAGTAAATGCATACCAGGAGAAAAAAAATCTGCACACAGAGGCAGCTGAGTAAGAACATTCTAGAAAAACATTACATACATTTTGTTTCTTTCTGCACTCATCCTTTCAATAAGCAGCCTATGATGTTTCCAACTACACTACCAAAATCGGTGTGCAGTAACACAGCCACCTTTGCACATTTATAGCAAATCTTTCCCTGCCCAGCATTCAATTTAACCAAAAACTAGCTTCAGCACTTTGTATAGCAGCTCTCATTTTAAACTTATATACTGTATGGAAAATGATTCTAATTACAGTAAAACATCATAGTTTCTTAAAATTCAGTATCTCTGGGGAGAGGACATAAATGTGATCCTGACTGAGAGCAAGCCTACGGTGTATACAACTCCTAAGTACTTTCCCACCACCCGTACAAACAGCGGCACATTCAAGTCAAAATTCTAAACTTCTGATGAAATTTGAGCATTTGCAAACCATTTTCAGGTCAAGTCACTAACTGACAAGAGTCTGCATTCATTACACCAAGGTGCAAACAAATCACTGACGTGTATTCAGAAATGCATTTGCATCAGGTTGCCAGTAGGCAGTGCATACAAATACTCAATTATTTGTACCTGTGCTTAGAAACCTAATTCATTTAAGTCTACAGTTTGAATAGGAAGAGATTTGCTCGTAGGTGTCCTACGCTACAAGCAGACAAGTAAAAAAAAAAAGTCAGAGGCTGGTACCTGTAACCACTAATTCGTAGTTTCACAAATTAAGGCTTTCAAAAGTTTCACACATCAGAGCTCCAGACGACCAAGCAGGACGGTGCATCAGAAGCTTACAGCCCTGCTATAGAGTATCAAATGGTCCTGGACAGGGAAACCTCTACAGAAACAAGGCCAGCAGTGAGATCTTATATAAAATTCACCCATTCTTACATTCAAATAACCTTTCTCGAAGAACTGGAAGACCGTCTCCTTATAAAATCAGTTTGGTTAGCAGAACAGACTATTCTTGTGTTCTTTCTTAAGGCAACGTGGTTTTGTTGGGTGAAGTGGCTCTTTGGTCCACCTGCCCTCCCTTGTGCTCCTGGCTCACAGCACACGAGAAGTCCAGGCCACATACTTCACCAATGTTTTGCTAAAAGGAACACACAGCTGTCTTCAAAGTGAAAAAGTCTAAATAGATGGCTTTATCCAGGTCTTCAGTAGTCCAACAGGCCCTCAATCTTCAGCATCTGCCTTCTGGACACCAACAGAACACCTCACAGCTCATCACACCTTCCACTGTTTTTCCTCAATGGTTTGCATACTGGATTTAGTCAAACACAGTCACACAGATGCCCTGCCTATGGTCTGATTTTAACAATGTCAAACATGTATACTTCAGATGTCACAAACAATGCATTTAGTCTTTACATTAAAAGCAAAATCACTATTAGTTTCTTTCATAGGCTTAAATAAAGCCACTGAAGAGAAGAGAGTTGCTCATCATTCAGCCTCTAAACCTGGAACATGACAAAACTGTATCCAGATGAATTTGAAACTGAAAAATATTATTTTGGAAGATGACAAATAAAAATCTGAAATACAATTTGGCTATATATATACACACACATATACACGCCCCCCCCCCCAATCCACTGTGTAATATTTAAGATGCTTCTCCCATTTTTGCATATTTTAAGGGAACAAATTTAAAGATGAAGGAGAAGTGGGAACAGCAAGCAGTCTGTGGAAGCCATAGGTCCCTCACATAATTAAAAGAATGATCATCAGAAGCCATTATGTTGCAGATGCTCGTAATGCAACCACTGTACCTTTTACAATAGACTGTTCTATGTGCCATCCTTCTCAGCCTGTTCTAGAAACATTCCTGGGGGATGCAGTATTTTTCCTTTCTGTTGCTTCCATTCTCTTGCTTCACGCTTGTTTTTAATTTTCTGACGCTCCAGACACAGCTTCAAAAAAGCTTATAGCGTACTGGTCTTAAGCCCTGTTCTGTACCAAGCAAAACAAAGCTATGGCTCTGCAAAAGGGTTTAACGTTTACTAGTCTAAAAGCAGTTTGTTTTCTAAACAGAACAGCAACTTCTCATAGTTTTGTTGCAAAGAAAAAACACTGTTCCCATTAGAATTTTCCTGCTAGTCCTTACAGATTCTTTAAATAAAGAGATGAAAACTGGCATATATTGAATTCCTTTTTGCTCTCGCACTTCACATTTCCAACATTTTCAAGCACTTACATTCACATATTAACAAAAGATTTCACACTGGTCCGTATCATGTAGGGAAGGAAAATAAAAAGTAAATTCACACAAGAAAGCCAGACAAAGAGGAATCTTCATTTGCATCTAGGCAACATAATGTTCCTTTCTGGACAGTGTTGGAACAGTGCGTACGCTCTCCAGCTATCAATCTTACTTTCATGGTATTGTCCTCTTTATCTCTGTATTGCAGCAACCTATAAAAATGCTAACATTCCTAAACATTTAGAATACCTAATTAAGTGAAATGCACATGGCTATATAATTATGACATTAAAAGGTAAATTAGCACACAAATGGGAAACACGCAACATTCAACACTTCATTTCTTACAAGAGCTGCTTTTCGAAATCCTTTACTTCTCCTTAGAGGCACTGATTTACAACATGACTTAAGCTCTTAAGTGCCCAAGTTGCTTTTAATACCAAATCTTGGGCTCCAGAATGAGAAATGTGATTTTGGGAACATTATTCTTGGTGCACGCATTAGGCAACAGATCAGAAGTTTCCCTGAAAGAATTACAATTGCATTTCTAGTGAAGTCACTACACTGTCAGAAATCACCAACCACAACGCGCTATTTTTAAACCACTAGTTTAAGCCAAGGGCTTAAACCTTCCTTGAAACTAGTGACCTCAACACTAAATTAAGCTCATGGTTCAAATAACGTTCATTATAGTAGTAGAGGAAAAACCTTTACAGATTTCCAGCACACTGAAATATGCAATATAAAAAAACCCCACAGAAAAACCAAAGCAAGCAATTTATTTCCACCTTTACCTGGAAACTAGTTAGATACGTATAGATCCATAGTGAACCTCTGTCCCAAAGGCCCTGCTGTATAGCAGAACCGCCACAGTTTGTAAAAAAAAAAAAAAAAAAAAACAACCAACACAAAACACAAGGAAAAAACCAAAAACCACTTTGAATATAAGTTTTCATTATTGATCTTAAATTTGAAGGACAAAAGAGTTTTTCTTTAAGTCCAAACACTGGGAACGAGCATAAAAAAAGCCTGTATTTTGAAGTGCTTTTTGAAGGTCTGCAATATGAGGACACTGAATAGCAGAAGTCCACAAAAAAGTCACAAAGGGTGTTTCCTACCACATTTTTGATAGGGAACAGACCTTATTCAGTCACTATGAAGTTCAGCCTGGCACTGGGTCTTGTCACACAGATTTCTTTATTAGGCTCAATGGCAGGCAGCAAGCACAACTGTGTAACAGTCATCAGCCAGCACATGAAAGAAAGGTTACAGGCCAACAGCTGAAATCCAATGGATTCCAGGCAACGTCTCATTTACACACTGCATAGTGCGTTTCTTGTTGGCCATCACCTTTACTGTGTACTTTTAAAATCAGTTATTTTATACTAAAAAACGGCAATGAATAGTAACGCTGTTTTCGACCTCTCTATATATTTGCAGATTTCCCAGCGTGCGTGCTCCTCACCTCCTTATCCCCTTTCCTGCACAGTTAACATAGTCTTTAGCTGTCTTTGCGGACTAAAGGTATTTTACTCATCAGAATGATCTAGCTGGATGACTAATACAATATTTCTCCATTACTTTCACCTGAGCAGCTACAATAGTATTATTCAGGAATACAGAGTTCTGTAGATTTGCACACTAACTACGTAACAGAAACTTAATGCTGCACCCAAAACAGCCCAACTGTACTTAGAGAACCTTGACTTGAAAGCACGTGAACAAGGGGGATCAGGAATTGTATCAGAGTACCACATAATCAGAAACATCATCCCATCGCCCACATTGTCAAAGACACTGTTGCAAGCATGATAAATTTTTGGTTAAATAAAAGAATAGCATCGCTTAAAGAATAATTTTTCAAATGAAATAACACATTTTCTTCCTGAAAATAACTATGTCTTGAAAAGAATACTCATGCACCTTACCATCCATTCAGATATAATTACATCCACTTTTTCCAAAGGCAGATCTACTTCTTCGATTCTTCCTTTGACTAATGTAATGATATTTTCAAGTTTATTTAATCTGCAAGTCACAACATAAACAAATTAGTTTATATTTCCAATTTATGCTGTCAAGAGAGATATACTGATGTCTATATTTTGCATTTCTCCCCCCAGTAACAATTGTGCGGGTGTTTTTTTTTTTTAACTAATCAAGAAAGCACTAAAATGTAATATTCCTCTTCTCAGTTATATTTCAGAGGGAACGTTTCCGAGTATCCAAAAACTGCAGCAGATTAAGTGCCAGGCAATGATTGCAGACAGTAGATCTGTATACCTCCAATATGCTGTGCATGGAAATGTGTAAGCTTCAGAAACCAGGAAAACAGAGAAGAGGACAATTTAAAATGACGCTCTTTACTTAGAGTTGCTTGTTCCCGGTTCTCCTTCTTTGACCCCTGTAGCATAAGTCTATAGTGATTAGAGCCTACTCATCACACTAGGATAGCGATGGAAATTAACTTCCTTACAAAGCTGTTTTTCACGGCTTGTTTTTTTATTTAACAAAACTAGCTGCAAAGTCACTGAGAACAAACATTCCCTCTAGATCAGTATTCCACAGTTATTTCACAATAAAGGCATCCTCCCCACTGTGATTTTGGCAAAAATCATCTGCAATGTTTAGTAACTACAGTAATCAGGTATTACCTTATATGCAAGTAATGGTACAACCATCCTGTATAAGGAAGAAGGTACTGTGACAGGACTACAGTTTTTGAAAGAAAAACGGCATGACAGTGAAATTACTAAATATGTGATACTTGAAATTTAGTCTTTTTCTTCTTGGCAAACCATATTAGTCTTTTTTGTACATATCGTTATTACAATAGCTATTGTTATAGAGGGCAGAAAAGTATTCCCACCAAAGAAATTTATCTTTCCATTGCCGTTCTTATCTCTGCCCCTTCCTTCCCTGTCCTGATATCTTACTCTTACATTCTGTCTGGCTTTCAATGCAGACTAGTAATCACATTAAAAATTCAATCTAAAAGACAATGGGAGAACGACCAGAATGAAGGAAGGGAAAAGACGGGGTCAAAGGGCTACTTGAACATGTGGCCTGCTGGAAAGATCAATTAAACACTCTACACACGACAGTCTTCTGTTAGAAGAGTAGCAGTTCATCACTAATATCATACTTAATGCTGTAAACAGAAGTAAAACCAGAAGTTCAAAGCGAGAAATAAAACGCTAAAGAGCTATCACCTACAACAATATTTTAAGAAGGACAAAAAGAGATCTAAGGATAACTTCCTAAATGACCACATAAAATGACATGATTTAAAACAAAAGAGAGGAAAAAGACTAATTCATTACATACTTGTTTTCAATTGTAAGGTATTAAAAAAAAAACCAAAACCCAAACCAACCAACGTAGTTTTCACATTGTAGGAAAAACTGCCGAGATGCTTTTTAGGAAGTATACTTCAACTTTCTATTCTAGCGTAAACAGTGATGAACGACAAAAATCAAGTCATTAACTGCACTAGAAATTTATGGGCAGCTATTCACAGTAAGAAAAAGAGAAGGCAAGCATTTAGTTAAAAATAAGTTTACTATGTAACCTTGGGGAAAAAATCATGCCACTCAGGCCACTTATTCCAGTTTACTTCCACACAAGGGCTGCACTATTTCTAGCAATTAGCGTGCTAGAAATGAGCCTGAATTCTGGGAGGGACAAAAGCTCTCGAGCACATTCTTTAATCACAGGTGGAGGCACACTGCAGTAGTCATTTTTAAGCAACAGAGAGTTGTTTAGTATTCCAATAAATATTCGTTACTCCATTACAAGTTTGTCAGCTTTATTCCTTTAGGAAAAGTAGGTTTAACATGACAAATATAAATTGTTTTGATGCGAACTGAAAGCTTTAATGTGAATTGAACCTTTTATAGCAGAAGGTATCTATAAACGTGTAGCCCTAGCAATGGTTCACTGTGTACTTCAAGTGGCAATTCATCACTCTCAAGAGTTTAAGAGTTTTGATTTGTTGTTTTTCTTAAAGGCTTGCCCTTCTCCTCACCAAAGATAATACGTGTTGGCTGATACTTCTATCCTCCTCTACGTACAAATAACATACAAAGGACTTTCTGTGCACTTGTTGAAAGATATGAACAATCCTAAGTTTGTCATCTAGTACATTAGAAATAAAACACCATTTCATATTTGTAACCGCTCTGCAGATGTCAAGAACTCCTGGGAAAAGTTCTCTTTAGAGAATGAGTTCTTGTGCCATAAAAGCCTTTTGGTTGAAGTTGCACCTAATGCTTAACATGGTACTTTTCTTAAACAGGCATTAATTTAATAGAATAATTTTACAGCATCCAAGTGTGCAGTGTTGCATCTCCAATGTGTGAAGTGGTATCTAACCTAAAACTTTTGCCTAGACAACCTTATTTCTGTACGATTTAAGCTTGCGTAAAAACTGCCAATCCCAAATTCCTCAGTATCTACCTTGACTTTCTTTTCCACAGTTGCTCTTACAAAAACAACCAAAACAAAAAAAACCTACACACCTCAGCTACCAGCAGTACTCACCTACATTTCTCTACCTCACGCTAGGAAATTCTTTTTAAGTCTTCAGATGACATTGCTTCATTTTTACATATACTCAGTCTCCCATAATATCCTCTATAGGTAAATTAGTGAAATTTGGAGTGGATAAATGAACCATTAATGGGTGGAAAGCTGTCTAGACCATGAGGTTCAAGAGGTGAGAGAAGCAGTACAAAGACTAACTGCCAGCCGGGTACCAGATGTATCCAATGGTAACGGATATGTCTGGTTCAATGCTTGTTCTAATACTAATTAACACCTTTATCAGTGACCTAATGGGACAGAATGCACCCTCAGCAAGTCTATGGATAATGCTGAATTGGGGGTGGGGGCGGGGAGCTGATATGCTAGGGGGTAGGGCTGCTATTTAGAGGGACCTCAGCCTGTAGAAACCTCAGAGATCCAGCAAAGGCAAACATGAAGACCTGCACCTTGGCTGGAATAACCCCATGAAACAGTAGAGACTGGTTCCTGCTGGTTTAGCAAGCAGAACTGATTTCCTTCCCACCCTGCCTTGATGAGGGGCTGAGTGAACAAGTTGAACATAAGTCAGCAGTGTGCCCTTGTAGCAGCAGGTCAAAGAAAGTGATGTTTCCCCTCAATCTGACACTTGCAAAACTGCATCTGGAATATAGTGTCCAGTTGTGGGCTCCCAGTAGAAGAGAGACATTGACATACCAGAGCAAGTCCAGTGAAGGGGCCACCAAGATGACGGGGGGCTGAAGCACATGACATACAGGGAGAAGCTGAGAGAACTGGGTTTGTTCAGCCTTAAGAAGGGATGGTTAAGGGATGGGTTTCTGATGTCTTCCTCTGCCCAGCAGAAGGATGAAGGGAAAACAGAGCCAAGCTCTTCTCTCATATCACAGGGACTAGATCAGAGGCAAGAGATACAAGCTGCAACAATGGAAATTACAATTTCATTTTCAAAAGTCAAACAAGACACATTTTCCAGAAAATGGACTGGCAGCAGTCAGTTGGAGCCTCTGCAGCAAGGCAGCACTGGCCCTATGCTGACATTAGAAGGAAGGTCTGGGAAACATCCTATCTTAACTACAGCCCTGTTTTAATTACCTCTATCAGAGGATCAAACGACTGCACATCAAAACCTGTGTTAATTCTTCGGACAAAGGAGGACTTCAATAAAAGACAGACTGAGTGATAGGTCATCATTAACTAGTAACAGCATTTTAATAACTTTTTACAGCAATATTTACCATACTTTTCTTGGAACTTCTCCTACCGAATTATGTCCATGGCCTGATAGACAATTTCAGATTGGTCGACTCCAATCACTTTCTTCGCGCCTGCTTTGGCAGCAAACATGGACAGTATTCCAGTTCCACAGCCAACATCCAAAACCACCTGAAAGGAATAAGATGTTTATTTTTACCTCCATTTATTTCCCTTGCTATAACTTTTTTTTTAACACATCTTTCTATATCAGTGAGATACCATATCCTAACAGAAGGAACAAACGGTAGCATCGAGTCTTACTATTACATTCAGAGATATCCAAGTCAAACTACAGTTCTAACTCCACACCCTCCATTACCTTTTACAGATAGACAACGAAGCAGACTAGCTCCAGCTGCAGATGAACTCAGTCCCATGGGAAACAATCACAAGCAATTATTTGGGCAACAATTAAAAAGTTACTTGAACAGGAGAAACAGGAAATTAGAGCCTGAACAATTTTAATCAATGAATCACTAACGATTTAATTTAGGACTGCCACTGAAAAAACATATTGTAACTGCAGTTTCTCATTAAGAGTCTATTCAGAAACTTTATTTAGGAATCCTCTGCTAGAAATGGCCACAGTGCCTCCAAAGAGCTATGGTTCAAGATGACTAAATTTCCAAATAGTAAACAGCACAACCTTAACACCTGGAAATGTTTTCTGTCTAACACTATTTATAATCAAAATAGGACCAAAAAAATATCCAGGAAGATGAGATCCCTAAGTTTTCACGAAAGAAAAATAAACTTCATCATTACACTTGAAAAAAGTACACTCAATAGCAACAAGACTCATGCAAATGCTTGTTTTTGATATCTCACCTATTAGCTACTGTAGGAACACTGAAAAGTTTAAAAATGCGAAGTGACTAAGAAAATAGTACCAAATATATTAATTAATAGAGATGAGCTGTCAGCAGTGTTGAACTTCATAAAGCAGAGATTTTACCAAGCAGCCTTGTTCAGGCCTCAGTATCATAATAATCATAGTATCTTTCTTCTAACAGCTGGAAACTTCTCAACAGCTTAAAAAATAACACTCTTAATCTTTAGATTTTTAAGCTACCAGTTTCACATTTGACAGTTTCACAGAAACACAGAATATTTGAGGTTGAAAGGGACCTTTGGAGATCACCTAGTCCAACCTCCCGCTCAAAGCGGGGTCAACTAGAGCAGGTTGCTCAGGACCATGTCCAAACGGCTTCTGAGTACCTCCAAGGATGGAGACTCCACAACCTCTCTGGGCAACCTGTGCCACTGTTCAATTGCTCTCACAGTATAATAGTGTCTCTTGATCTTTAAAGGCAACTGCCTAGAGTTCAACATGTGCCCGTTGCTTCTTGTCCTGCCCCTGAGCACCACTGGGAAGAGTCTGGCTCTACCTCCTATACTCCCCCCACCACCAGGCATTTACACACACTGATAAGATCCTTCCCGAACCTTCTCTCCTCCAGACAAAACAACCCCAGCTCTTTCAGCCTCTCCCTCTACCACAGATGCTCCAGGCCCTTCATCACCTTTGCGGTCTTTCACCGGACTCACTCCACTACGTTCACCTCACTCTTGCACTGGGGAACCCAGCACTGGGCACAGCACTCCATAAGTCATCTCCCTGGGGTACAGACATCTCCCTGGGGCTGAATCCAAGAGAAGGTTCACCTCTCTTGACCTGCTGGGGACAAGTCTTCTTCCTAATGCAGCCCAGGAGGCTGGCTGGCTGCCTTTGCCGTAAGGTTGTGTGTTTCTGGCTCACGGTCAACGCTGGCTCACAGTCAACTTGGTGTTGACCAGGACCCCCAAATTCTTTTCTGCAAAGCTGCTTTCCAGCCAGTTGGCCCCCAGCCTCTTGTTGATGCGGGAGGTTGGACTAGGTGATCTCCAGAGGTCCCTTTCAACCTCAAATATTCTGTGTTTCTGTGAAACTGTCAAATGTGAAACTGGTAGCTTAAAAATCTAAATCCCCTCTGCAGGATTTTGCATTGCCCTTTGATTGTCCCAAGCCCTTCGCACAGGACCCCAGTTGGCCATTTCTCCAGCCTATGGAGGTCCTTCTGAATGGCAGCACAATCACGTAATATATCAAGCACTCTTCCCAGTTTTGCATGATCTGCAAATTTGCTCAGAGTGCCTTCTGTTGCATTGGTGAGATCATCAGCCGTCTTACTGTTAGACTTCTACCTAATATAGTTAAGCTTTACTAATGATCTTTAAAACTAAGCACTAAACCCAAAAAAGTTCTGAAATCTGAAAATCAAAACAGTTTCCTAAACACTATTTACAGTCACTTGTATCATGCACAGCATTTAAACATTAACAGAATCAGAACTGTAAAGACAGACTTCCTTTCCCATAGAAGAAACCTAAACAAGAGGGTAAGCACAACTTATAAAACACTTCTAAAATAACGGGAACATTGAGTCAGAATTACTAGTCATAAAAATAATTTATTAGAAAGGAAAACTACCTTATTTCACTGTCTCTCCTTAGCACAGCATCCAGTGTTGTAAAAGCTGTCCTCACAGCTTTCACGACATTAAATTTTCTTCCAAAGAAGGCATCAAATCACTCAGTAATCAATCCCACACTTGAGAATTACAACCCCATTTTACAAGATATTTCAAGGCAATAATGCACCCTACCGAGAAACTTTCTGGCTTATGAACATTCTTGTTTTGGCATAACAAAAACTTGCATGTGCACTTTTAAATTTCAGCTGACAAGCAGAATCGAAGTACTTGAATGCTCTGCACTTTAGGTCTGCTTGCCTTGCATACAATTCCATACATTTTGATGATGGATGCAGAACGATGATTCTGAAGCCAGCACGAATAAAATTAGCCTGGGAAGCAATGACTGAAGAGTTGACTGCCACCTGTCTTCATAGAGCAACTTACAACCTGGAATCAGACTAGAAAACATTAGCGCGATGAATTTTTTTACAGCATCTCGCGTAGAGGCTGGCCACAGAAGCTGCAGAGTTACTTGTTCCACTTGGAACTCTTTGCAGCTATGTTCCAATAGGAGTCAATTCTACATCTCATTCACAAGTTACATGCGAGTATGTAATGGCTACGGAAATCCCTCGGCTGAAGTCTTCTGGAGAAAGGAATAGAAAGTAAAAATCAATATTCTTGCAGCTGCTGAAATCTTATGCCCCCTAACATCATCTATTCCAACACTTTACCCGTGGTAGTTAACAAAATTGCTGAGCCATGAAAGCTGGAAGTCAGAGCCAAAAATAAACCTCTGTGAAAGAATGATCTTGATGTACAGTTGCATGAAAGAGAGCAATCACCACAAATTGGAAAAAAATCAAAACAGACACCACTTTGGACAGCTGCCCTGGTCACTTAAAAACCCAGATGGAATTCATCTAGCTTTAGACAGGGGATGGGGGTGGAGAAAAAGGCACATGAGAGAAAATATACAAGCTGGAACACATCTGAGGAATGGAAAGACAAGCAGAATGATCACCGATTAGCCTAAGGACAAGGGTCTACAGCTATCGCATTCTTGCAGTGATCACATATGGCCTCGCACCAGTGATCTGGAGCAGCTGGACTGGCCATTTGACTATACCATAATGTACTGCAGCATCACATCCTCCTCTGCAGTCTAATCAGAACTGATATTCTACTTCTAGCAACAGAAAAAAATTACTTCAAATTCAAAAAACAAGGAGGTCAGGTCATTTGGCCAATTCATTCCACCAATGAACTTCTAGTAGGAACAATGTTTAAAACCTCATTTTTTCCCCTCAGTACGGCATTGATGCCTGCCTTAGACTTCTGTTCTACAACAACAACTAAGGCATGGCAGTAGTGCTTTTCTAACCAATTATTTTTCCACCAAAAAACACTCTCGCTGTAAAATGGATCACATTTCCTTTTACTGAGTAAGGCCACCTTAACTACTCCTGCTCGGTAATCTAAATTGTCCTATTCTCATCTCAAGTACATCTGACAGGTTGAAATAAAGGCGGCAAGCAGGATTCATTCAAGTTTTAATAATTTCTCTTGAAAGCTGAGAGCGAACAAACGAATCGACTGGTTCTGAATAAAGTATGCATAATAAACAAACCTAGATATTCTGTTTTCATCTGTTACCATGCAATCACACCTCTTTGGGATACTGCAGATTTGCACCAAAAGCTAGGACGATCAGTGGGGGTTTTTTTTTGATCACTATTTATTTTCTAGGGAGGAATACCATATGGGAGTTCTAGGAAATACAGTATCAGACTTTTACTCCTTTTTAAAATTGTAATCAAACTTTAATGGACAACAGCCTATTTCCTCAAGTTGGAAGTTTCACTCATTAATATGGTTCTGAGAGCATCATATGATACATAAATTAAGCAAAATATCTTAACAGTTCCTTCAGCAGAAGCCTGTAAAAGATGCCACTTCAAAGCTAGATCTCTGAAAAAAATCCCATATATCCTCCATAACAGCATACCAAGTGAAAGCTACATTTAGTCAGACACAGAAGTTAAGTGGGGCACTGGTCACCTCACTGGAAGCTGTTGGGAACTCAAAGCAATTGAAAATCTTTCTTTCCATTCAGCCTCAACACACTGTGATGGGTTTGGATACACTATGAACTTGAGGCAATCCTGATCAAAAAAGTGCCGTAAAAACACTGAGTTCAGAAACCAGTTTGTAGACGTTATGATAATAGACAAGTTTTTCTTTAAAAGTTGAATGCTTTCACGTGAAGTAAAAACACAGATTAAGCACACACATTTTCTAGCTGATTCCTGAGCAAGTGCATCCACAGCTGGGGTTGAAACAACATTGTCTAGAACAGTTCACCCACATTTTGTTTCAAATGTTACCAGTAAGTCCACATAACAGAGGAGAAATACAAGCAGTTCTGAAAAATTACTGTTCCACTAGGACATACATTCCATGTAACTCAAGACCAGTCTTAGCCTGTGAAAACCTGCAGTTATCAATTTTAGGGGCATCTGTGAAACTAAATTTCTCCCAATAAAGTTTTCTTTCCTTTATTGATCTTTCTGCTTTGTTGGATGAGCTGCCCAGCTATGCAGTCACCTGCATCTTTTAGGTAGCTGACAGCATAATGTTTCTACAACACTTTTGCTTTTTCTCTCATTTTAACTAAAAAGCTTAGAAATGTCTAGTAGAAACAGGCTTGTGACATGGATTGAAGCAAAAAGGAAGAAAACTCTTTTCCTAATATTTTTCTGCTGTAGTTGCCAAAAGAAAACAGAGATAAGACATACAAAGAGCACGCACTATCTACCTTGAAAAATCTCCCGCCTAGGACAAAACCCTAGCTAGCCCAATTTCCAACTGAGGAACTATCAGATGGATGCACTTCTATTACTTCCACAACTATTCTGAAGCCTTGTATTATTAACAAAGTCTCAATCAAAACCAAAATAAAAATCAGCAGCTATTGCCTTCCATAAATCTAGACATCCTGGTTTCACATTAAGAAATATCCATACACAGCCTAAGAATGGTAAGCATTAAGTAGAGGAAAGCTAATCCAGAATAGAAGGCTGCACAGCATAACTCAGAACACAACGTCAGAAATAGCCAGCACAAATACAGAAGACAAGGGGATCATAACTGTGCAGAGGTCATAACCACAGTAAGATCATAAACACAAGCCAGTGCCATCCCTCCTCACTGCAAGTGAAATACTAGTTCCTGGTTCTAAGTCCCTTAATAATAACCTAGTCGGGAGACACTAAACAACACTAATTCAGTTAAGTTAGTTGCATATGAATTCTTCCCAGTTCTAATTACATGGTGCTTCTAGAATGTTTTTACTGTATCAGGCACAAATTGAAAGTCACTTAAATTCTGGTAAAGAGGCCCTCTGAGATAGATTCCACGTAATATACCGGACAAGAAAGGCTCAACTTAACCCGGCCAACATAATTAATGCACATCCCGACATGGCACACAGAACAACGACAACAGCAATGAGCACTTCTGTTATCAGCACTTTGCACCCTCCAGCAGTTGAATAGCACTCTGCCACCTAATAAAGCAAGAGTACAGTAAATCAAATCTTGTCAGTGCGATACTCCATTCCCAAAGCTACAAAGTACCCAACCTGAAGGATTTCTACCACTTGAGAAAAAATAAAGCGCAGAAATTATTGTATTTTCTGAGCTGTTTTACCTACCTTGTCCTTGAAGATATGTGGGTTTTGATAGATAAAGTCACGATAGCTCTCTGTACGCACTTTATCCTATGGTTGAAAGAACAAAAAACAATGTTCGTTTTTTCTACTTACGTACAGCATATTGTTCAAAAATGCTGAGAAACTTGCTTTTTAACTTGGCCTAAAGATGTTTTGTGGCTCCTGTACTTATAAGGGCTCTGCAATCACGACACTTTCCATACTATATTCTTTCAGAATTTATTGTCTTTGCAAATGAAGCCAGCTGAGCCTCTGGAGGAAAAACAATTAACTAACTTACATTTTTCTGACCTGCTGCATTTGATTTTGGATGTTTCAAAGTTCTTAATACCTCTTCACCACTTTCCAGGAACAGTAGTAATAGAGGAGCAATACTGCATCAACTTTACCTAACAACCTTCTATACAATTGTAAAAAATTGAGTCACGAGCTCATAAAACGGTTCATACTTTTTTCCTCTGACACTCCTGTAACACAGATACCTTAAAAAAAATTTATGGATCAGATTAACCTTTTCTATTTCTGAACAAACTGCAAATTTGCAAACCTGACGACAAATTAGTAATTGAAGCTGTACAGCTCATTCTATGAAAGCCCAATATAATAAATGAACAAACTTAACTGTAATACAACACGACCTGAGAAACTGGAATGTTTTCAAGCATATAATTAAACATTTACAGTATCTTCGTATATGAAAGCTAGTAGTATAGCTCAATCTACCAGCAAGGTAATATATTAAAACATTGATTCTCTTAATATGCACCAGCAGGTACACAAATTGACAGCCAAGTATAGGTTTTGGAATTGCTGTTGCAGTTCAAGCGTTAGAGCAAAGTAAAAGAAAAATTTGAAGCACTTTTCATCTAGTAAAGACAAGTCTACAAATAATACTGAAGTATAAAATCCAATTGCTTATATTCAAGTTAACATTTTTCTACTATGGCAGGTAAGAATTTTTAGAAACACTAGAGAAACTAAAGAAATTTTCTCTAGTGAGAAAGAACACAGTCTATTTTATCAGAAAAAAAAGATCAAAAAACAGAGACTGAGAACAAAGGACGTTCATAAAAATTCTGGAGACAAAACAAATTATTTTGAGGCTTGAAAATCCTAAAATCCAGTTTTAAGTTTAGGAGGATTATCACATACACACAGAGCCCAAAGAAACAGTTAGGGATGATTTTAGAAAATTGTACTTTAAAATTATACATAATTAACATAAATAAAAAATATTGGGATCCTTTAAAATCATATTGGTTTACTATGACATTATATTCAGAGCAACTATTTTTAGTACTTCACCTCTATTGCAGTATATAATAAGATTTGCTGAAATGACCAAAAAAGTTTAAAAAAAAAAAAATCAGAAGGTTCAACATCAATCGAGAAAGCAGTCAGCTGGAAAGCTTTCAGCCTTACATCCTGCTCACTCACATCGCCTCAGCACTGCCCCAACTTAATCAATACAATTCTAGCTGCTGTCTCTACTATATGCACTGCTGCTCGAGTGAGCCACAGTCATTCACTTCAGGTCTCTCTAATCATCAATTCCACTCTCTCACTCACCATTTCGATGTAATGCTTTGTTTTGCTTTGTTTTTAAATAAAATGGTAAGGAAATTTATTAAGATGAGTAAGAAATTCTCTCAAAAAAAAATAGAACAAGGGAAACACTAGCCATTTGGCCAGTGTGAAGTGACAACACTCTTCCCCCATCTCTGAAGTATTTGCAGCGAAAAAGCCAAATTGAAACTTCATCCTACCACTACCAGGCATAAGAAAAAAAAAGGTTTCAAAACTGAACAGCGTCAGAAACAGAATTAAAATTCAGACAGCAAGACTCCTTTCATAAAAATTTCAATGTAGCAAGCCATTGTGTTTATTATATAAAAAAGTTAAACATAAAAAAAAAAAGAAAATCAAAGTGAATGCCCAGCATATAGGAAAAAGTCAACGCAGGTGATAAAAATCAATTGCTTTCCTATGTTTAGGAAAGTCAAAAGCCTTCTTAAAAGCATTCTGACAAACATTCCCTGAAACCAATAAAATACGATTTTGTACGAATTATCTTGTGTAGAGATGCAGAATTATTACAAACTTTATTAGCAAACAGAAAGGCTTCCTCATCCAATAGCGTATAACATCTCAGATGACACCTTTATACAACTGCAATACCAAACTTTTATCATTTTTATTTATCTTCAAGACTCTAGACTACACATTTTGGAAAACATTATTCCACCTCTGCAGAAATCTCTGTGCTTCTGTAAAATCCACCCCCTTCCTAAAATAAACCTCATGCTTATACTATTCCTAACACAGATTTATGTGCATTTCTACATTGGGGCCACTCAATGATACAAAAAGCAGAAAACTTTATATGCTACCTGTATGGACAAAGTCACTTCACAACTCTGTATTCTATCGCTACATCAGGCAGGAATTTTATTTATTTCTGTCTTAAAGTGATAAAACTGACTTTCTGACTTTCACAACTATGATACTTTCTCTGAAAGGAAGCATTAAGATATTTTGATTTTCATGTCAATTATAAGTTGTTGGGTTTTGTGTTTGGTTTTTTTTAAAGTTAAAAGGGCATACACAGGTTTGCCTTCAAAGAGTTTTAAGCCTTAATTATTTTATCTTTATCATATAAAAGAAGCATACAAATTTTTCCAGCTGTTCAATGTCATGTCATCAATACACTGCACTGTGCACAAATGCCAACAATTTCTGTTTACCTAATGCAATAGGAAACCACAATATTTGAGAAGTGGGTTTGCCTGACAAATTTCAATTGTTAGGAAAATATAAACCAAAGAAAAATATTCACTGTCTGTACCATGTCCTATCCCTTATCTTTTAAGCACCCAGGAAAAAGCTGCTTTGGGCAAGGTAAGGTTGTGGTACAGATATTGTAATGCATCTTCAAGCATATCTGTAGAGTAAATGATTTTATGTTTCTAATGCTTCCCATAGAGTAAAGAGAATTTATACGAAAGAAATAAAGCTGGAAAAAGATCTCTCAACCCAACTCCTAGGAAAAAACTATCATGTATAGAAAGGGTTAAAAATGCAGCTGCTCTGCAGTATATTTATGGGCACACAGCCCACTTCATTCCCGCTTTCCTCTTTAGCCCTACTAGGATGCAGTTGAGATGACTTTCTAACCTTTAGCATCTCTTCGTGTATCCCATAATGCCCATAGGAGCTGAAGTAAACACCATCCTCATCCTCCTGAAGGTCTGCAATGGCGCTGGATGACGAGCTGCTCCTGACATCTGCGTTCATCACAAAATCCTGCGCAAATTGTCTGTAATCAATTTGAAATATACCCTTGAGACACGTTTATGGGACCATGAAGAGGAGGCGGAGGTGGGGGGGGAGAAGGGGCTTGGGAGAGATGAGGAACCCAGCCTGCCCAGGGGCTCTGACAACAATGGCATCGGCTTTGAGCGTGCACAACCTCCCTCTGCCGGCTCCTCAGGCTGCTGCACCGCCCGTCTCCCGCCATCACCCTCCTGCCACCTCTACTTTCTGCTTTCAGCCAGCAAGTATCAGCAGTGAAACATTCGGACTTCATTTCTAAGGAGGAATTATCTATTTGGCACTCGCTGGTACAACAGCTCGTACCACGGTGGTCCAAGTCTACAGGGGATAACGTGCATTTTAAGCCATGAAACAGAGATATGGACTCAGCGCAACAAACAACACTTAAGAGCTGTACATCATACATCACTGCATGACTAGTGGAAGGTTGAAGAAAGCACTTTAAAAAACGAAGCATTTGCGTGGAAACAAGAGCTTAAAATTAAATTTATTTTAATTTCGCTTTTATTCACATGCTGCTACTTATTTTTCCTCCTCCATGGCCTCGCTTTCCTAATACGCATGTTCTCTTCTCATTTCTCAAAGCAGTTTTGATGACAAAATACACAAATCAAGGGGTTTACCATGAAAACACAATTAAAAGTTGACAAGCGAACAGCTCGTACTATACCCACAATGAAGTAAAAAAGCAAACATGCTTCAGCCGGACAGTATTCCTCCCAGGTCTACAGTCCAACATCTACAAAACTTGCATCCTAGACCACTCCAAAGCAGCCAAAGCTCACCTTCAACAGAGGTTATACTCTCTTAAACAGGAACTTAATGTATAGAAGCGGTAGGTAACATCTCATTACCAGTACCATCCTTACAGAACCACAAAACCAAAAATACTATTTCAGTCCTGACATGTCAAACGCTTCTGTGCTTAACCAGTTTGAATGGGAAGAGAAGGTGGTGAGGGAATTCGTATTAAAAGTTAGCCAATATCAGAGACTTCCTACGCTTGCTGACATACAGGTAAGATCCAGATCTTATTTTTAATATTGCTCTTTACCATGGCAGTTTGCATCTTCCTTACTTTTAGATAAATATCAAAATGATAAAAATTGAAACTTATAAAAAATCGATTCCATGACACACAATTAAGCATAATTAGCATTTCGTAAGATTTAAACCCGACTTGAAATTCAAAATTATTTAAAATTGATTCAGCCAATAGTTCCTCCAGCCTATGCATGCAACACAAGTACCAAACAAACTCTAGAGACAGAGCTGCCCTCCTATCTTTTTAATCAAGAAAAAAGAAGATAAGTAAAACCAAAAGCCATCATCTCTAAACAGGGGACAGATTAAAAAATTCAGGATATGCAAGCCATGCTCTTAAAACTCTAAGTTACATTAAATGCTAGAGGTGACCTGATTTATAGAACTGTTACCTTTTGTGGGGGGAAACAAAAGGTCACTACGCCTCCAGCTACCTGTCCTTGCTTTTTACCCCTTTCAATTCTCCTAATGCTACAAGTTTACTCAGTCTAGCAAACTTAGAAAAACATTTCCACAGAAATTACTTTATATTAAACTAGTGAGTGTCCTCATACTATTATTCCCAGGCTCAGATGACAAAAATCTCCAGGGAGCTGCATGACTGATCCTGAACGTTAAAAAACCTAAAATATTTTTTCCACATCTTGGAGAGCAAGACCTGCATAATGCAATCATGTTGCAGCTGAAAGAAGTTACAGTTACTTAGACTCCCAAGAAGTCTCTGTAGATAGTTATAGCATGAGAAAGCTCCTGGATCTGGCTTTTTTTACTCCAGAAGTTCAAGTCAGCCAACCAGCTGCTAAATACCAGTATAAACCTATTTCCATGACAGAAAACAACAGAAAAACAGGTTACTGTGGATTAAGTTCCTGTACACTATTCTTGCTCCGCATCAGACTTCCAAGCTATCTTTATTTCACAGAGGTTTACCTGAAAGGAAACCTGTCTCTTTCAGTGGAGTAACCGCCAACATGAATCAGTATCACTATGAATTACAGCATGTAGACTACTGCAATGCAACTGCTTCATCCGTCTATAATTTAAAACTGTGCTGCTTCATCAGATCTACATCTGGCTATTTTTGCTGCCAGCCGTTTCCTACATTGACAAAGAAAAATTAAAGACTCCCTTTTACTACAGCAGATGATTTGATATACTAACCTCGGAAAGAAATCTATATAAGCCTGACTGAAGTTTAGAGATCTGAAAACAAATTGCAACTGATGACCTCAAAAGATTTTTCTTTATTTTAAATGAAAAAGAAGGGAACAAGAGTAAGACAAGACGACACGCAGAAAAAAACCCAAGCTTTTCTAGTACAGTGACAAATTTCTTTCATTCTTATTGTTTATGATGAATTAACGCATAATGTACACAAAGAGAAAAGTGCTGTATGCTATAAAGTACAATTTGCAAAAGCTAAATCCAGCTGAAGACAAAACTGTTCATTTTTGACATGTGTAATTGTTCACAGCTGACTTGAATACATAAATTTATTTTGGAATACTTAGTTACTAATAACATCAAGTGTGTACTCTCAAACACACAACAAACCCTCAGATGTATTTCACAAAACAAGGTTTTTGCCGCTTTACTTTTCCACAGAAGAACATGAATTATTTTTCCAAGCCTCTGAAATACAGTTTCAGTTCTTCAGAGCCCAATCAGTGTGATCTTGAAATGACGTGTTTGCACAGGATTTAATCCTGCGTGACCCAAAAAGAAGTTTATATTCCCATTTTATCCATGAGCATCATCAATGCATATTTTGAAGACCTCAAGATTTACAAGTAGCACGTACAGGTATGGGGATGTCCTGATCTCCTGATTGCGATGCACCGCATATTCTTACCAACAGAACCCACAACTGAGACTGAAAATAAAAGTAGCTGAAAATTTCATTTATTAATTTCACTGAGGGTTTCTCCAAACTGTAACTGGATTCTACTACTAACAAACATTGTTTGGAGCCATCCCCGAAAATGCTGAGAGTCCCGTATTTAATCTGTCAATACCTCCCTCTTCTCCATTGTGTACATCTTCAATGTTTAAATTCGTATCTAAAGGACTAACGGCAAAGTGTCTGAAAAACAAAGAGTGGTCTGAAGCAAAATACATGTTTCTGGGCCATGTGCTATTTAGCTTTCCTAAGCATACTTTGCTCTTTCAGGTTTTGTGCAGTTTTTACTAATCATTGACAAGGTAAAAATCAAACCTACAGTCCCAACACATGTCATGAGTTTTATTCCGTAGTTACGTTCTACCACTTCTTTGAATTTCTATTGGTCTTTAAACATGAACATCTCATCTCACCTAAAATACATTAAATAAAAAAACCCCCAAAACTTCAGTTCAAACACTTACTTCATTTTTTGAAGATCATCTTGTGCTCTAGCCAAGGCTGCTTCTGCGAGTCTTGCTCTGTGTTCTGCATGTTTTAATTGTTCAAGCAGCACCATGGTATCATTTAAACCATTAGAAGGCAAAATGTTTGCAGGTTCACAAAGATCTTCAATATCTGATGAAATGGGGAGAAAAAAAAAAAAAACACCTACTAGTCATGTGTTGCTTCACAGCAGCTCATAAATATATGATGTTTTCAGTGTTGCTATTCTTGTCTTTAGATGATTTGTAGAAGTAGTCTGTTTTACAAGAAGCATCGCTGAATTTGATAGGACTAACCGCAGAACACAATACTACTCGGTAAAAACAAGTACGCTAGAAGCAAGCTCTAAGTTAATAAAGCAAATAAATCCAGAATTCAGGCTTCTTTAAATACCAGTGTTTGATTATTGATAAAAGAGACATTCGCTTTAGACTGTAATTAAGTTAATTACAGTCCTATCCTCTATTTTTCCAGTTACATTATTCTGAGGGCAAAAGGGCTGTTAACGGTAACGGTAAAAGGTAAGAATGTATCTAAATTTAAAATTTCTTAATAATTAAGACAGTAACTCAATTTTCAAACCAATTCCTTGGACTTTTATAAAGCTTATGAACACACAAAACTCAAGAGCACAAGCAGAACGAATCTAGATGAAACATTGCTTTTTAACTACCAGAACTCAGACTCAGCACTAGGCCCCATTCACCTCTTGCTAAATCAGCTGGTGATTTCAACAGACGTCAGTGGATTAAAAAATGGTGCTACTGTGTTTCTGGATATAGTAAGAAGTTACTGCCAGCTTATTGGGCAAAAGACTTCATTAAAAAAAACTTACATCTATTCCTTTTAATCATGGAAGACTGACTATTTGGCCCATGGGACCGAAACAAAGCACAGATACTTAAAATAAGATTTCAGAGGTTCAGATCACCCCCATAACACTTTAGTAACTGCAACAGCACCTCAAAGCATCTCAGAATTCTATAGCCTGGCCAAAGAGCACACATTAGGCAGGAGCTGATACAATGAAACGTGAAATCCCTGCAGTAACCAACCAATGTCCTCTACCACGCATTATCTCTGCCATCATGCAGCAGGGCTCGCTTAGGAAGGGGCATACCTGCATTCCAGACTGTACGAAGACGACAAAATCCACTAGCCCTAAGCACCTTATGGTTTAGGTGAAAGAAAGATGTACAATCAAGTGCAAAATAGGAAGAGAGTGGGAGGATCATGGGCTGCAAAAATAAGTTCAGAAGTCAAACTGAATTCTCTCAAGACCATCTGATGAACTGTCATGAGAGAGAAACTAAGGCTACTTGTACCGATTGCTAGAACCGCTAAAGAATCAGAACTCTTCTATGTAACTGCAGTATCTTACACTGGGCTGGTCCAAAATAGAACCTGTATAAAAGATGAAGATATTTTCAACAAGGCAAATTAATGCTCCTTACTTACAGCATATATTTTTGAATGAATGCATCTGATTTTAAATACCCTACATTTAGAAGCTTTAAAAGCTTCACAAATGTTCCCATGAAGCTTGGGTGGAGTGCCTCTTTGACCTGCTTAATCACTACATACAGCATCTCCGCTAAGAACATTGTATCTAAGTGAATGCAGATAACAAAACAGGGCTATGGAACTCTCAGCCATTAAAACCCAACACGTAACGTATGGTAAAAATTTCAGAGCGTGACTTAATGTCATGACTTCAGCTATTATATAGACTTTCTCATGTACTGAATAACGGTGACGATGCTTCGTAAGACAGGAACTCTGCTAATACCACATTTACCCCACAACACAGTATAGTCATGCTGAAACGTATTTATTTACCGAACTGAAGTAGGAGATCATCTTCTAGCTCTGGTTTCAAATATTCCTCTCCTTCCCAAGGCAGTGGGCTGCTGAGTGAACTCAAATATGCTGCTGTTGGTTTCTAGACAAAAGGAGAAGAGCATGTAAGCTCTTTGAAAACATCAGCACTTCAATTTCATTCAAGAAAATAAGGCAAAGATCTGTTCTTCCACCCATTAAAATAAATAGGATATTATTAAAGTAGCTTTGTAGGAAAGGCTGAGAAAAATGCTACTTTAAAGCATGACTAGTGAGAACAGTGAAAAAATGAACTTCTGGCTTCCATCCCGGCTCTGACAACAAGTACTCACCTCAGCATACTGACGCTACAACCAGGGCGACCAGAGAGTAGCGTAAAACTACACCTATGAGCTAGTCTGGGTCCCAAAGCCCAGGAAGCTACAGGATCAAGGAATTCAGTACAAGCAGTAAAGCACAGCAGATTGATAGACATTGAAGGATGCTTGTAGGATTACAGTGCTATCGGGAACCAGGTTTACTCAGGTGTTTGACTGTCAGACTCATAGCTTACAACAGGGCTAATCGACGTATTTCAGAAATGCTATAATCTCTCCTGTTTGCAACCGGGCAGTTAATACTTTGGCAAGAAAGGAGAGGTTAGATTCCGCACTTCAGTTTTTCTGTTTCTATGTTTACTCTGCATAGCTAGTTATGCCTTAAATAACTATTTGAGGATTTAAGATTTGAAGATTTAAGTAGAAAATGCTTAATTACGTAAGATGATATTAAGTCTCAACCTAAACTTTTACACAACAACCAAAGATCATACTTCAAAGTGACAGAATACGCAAGAGATACCCAGGTCTAACTTAAAACTGTAGGTTCCCATCAGCTTTCCTGATTCTGGTATCATTTTAGCAGAGATTAATTTTAGGTTCTGTGACCTAAGGGATCAGGTGTTGTCCTTACTAACAGTGCAGGAAGGGTCTGGCCAGCTCACATCCCCAGGAAAGACTCTTTTACACCAAAACGCACGCGAGGACTGAGAAACTTCCGTTACCAAGAAGCGAACCCATTACTGGAGCGAGACAGCAGAGTCAAAGGCCAAGATGAATTAACAAAACAACATGATACTACACAACGTGGGCTTTTTGCAAGTCTGAACACCCTATTCTGGAAACAATAAAACTCACATTAATTAAATATATTTAAAATGAAGACAACTTCACACCTAAATAAACTAATCAATAGCTACTTTAATTCCTGTGATTTCTTATTTCTACAAATGTAACACAAAATTTCATACAGTAACTAAAAAAAGGCAGATTGAAAGCAAGCATCTCGATTTCCCATTCTCCAGACGTAGATTATGGAAATAATAGGTGGCACACCTACCTTTAATCTAACAAAGTTTATTAGTTTAATGTATCCGTAAAAATCAAGTCCTGAAAAGAAAAGAGAAAGAAAAAAAAAAAAAAGAAGAAAGAGCTTCCATTACAGAAAACCCACACACATTTTACAATGATATGAATACGAATTACTTGTTCAATTGGCCAGCTTCCCTTTGGGGTGTACATCATTATCTAGGGCAGCCTTCCTATCTTAAGTTTGCCATTGACGCTTTTCTTCTCTTTAGGACCAAACCAGGAAATTCTCACCCTCAAGACAAATACGTTTGCTGCAAATTAAGAATGGCACATATGCAAACATGGCTTATGAACAGGGATTTCATTCATTTGGCAAACAACTGCATCAGGACAGCCACATTTATCTCCTACTAGCTACCTTGCTGATATTTTAGGCTGTTGTGCTCCTTTGTTCATAATTTTAGCTTTCTGCTTAATAAAACATAAACTGATCCTACTCATCAAGAATATATACCAATATTGATTTAAAACTGCCACCTTGCTCAGAAATAGCAGTAGTTTAAATGCAATTATGTACTCTTGTCAAGAATGGTGAGGATACTGCATAAACTCAAAATACCTTCCATTGGGTTTTATACAGAAAACAGACTAGATCTTACAATTTGACATGCAGATTTCTAAACGCTTCATGTGGTTCCCATCCCCTTATCTCTCTCTTTTTAATGCATGCTCTTAAAACAGTGTTTCTCCAACACTGTTCCCCTTCCCCTGCTTTCCAGTTTTCCTCTATATGCAGTAAGATATGGATTTCAGGCTCAGCAGTTCAGCACTTACTGAACTCTTCCGAAGCCCCCCCCTCGCTTCACATACATCCTTCTGTATGTACCTTCCTTCAGTCACCACCTTGGCCTAAATACATGACAGCTTCAAGTAAAAGCCAGCCTTAAACTTCACTTGGAAAGAATGAAAGAGATATAGGAAGGTATGCCTTCCTGTGATCACCTGAGAGAACATAAGCCAAGACTACAAACAGCTGCTTAAAAGACACCAGCAGTGCAGCCCAGTCACTGGACCTCTTGGTGGATACATCCACTTTGGTCTCTGCTAAGCTACTGAGCCCAACAACAGCATCACCAGCCAGGCAAGAGTTCCCAATAGATCAGGTAAAAAGCTCTTTCTCCAGCATGCAGTGGGCTGGCTCAGGTCGGTCAAGTAGGCAGCGGGGACTCAGCACAAGCCAGCAGAGATCAATCTTACTTTTGTTACTAGTCGAGACCTCTATCAGTAGATAAAGCATATGGGAAACGACCAGCATAAAGATAACATATAAGCATTTTTCTACAATAGCTTATCTTGTTCAATCTTGCAATTTTCAGCTACAACCAGGAAATCAGTTAGAAACAAGCTGATCTTCACAATTTATTTTAAACGAGATGCTGATACGCAGAAAGAAACAAGTCGTGAAAAAAACTTACCATGTTTCTTGATCACATCACAAACATTAAACTGATGCTCTGTTTTGCAGTGGGAGAATACACCCTCAGCAGAACTAAACAACCTGTAAATAATGAATTATTAAATATGCAGTATTAGCATGTTTAGAAGTTGTAACACTGTTATGAGTTTTATATGCTCTGTTCTGACCTGCTAGGCAATGTGCTCAGAACACATCATTCTCGCCTTTAAGAAAGGATGAGCAGGCACCTGCTTATCACATACCTCACAAAGCAGCTTTCCCCTTGTTTGCAAAACATTTTGCAACAAAAGGTAGTAAGTGCAAAAACTTTGTTTGACAAAACCACGAACCCTGTGAACTTTCAAAAACACCTTTAAAGCAAAGACAGTGCTAAACCCGAAATCTAAGAACCACACGTATACGAGGTGAGTTAGCCAGTTAGATCTGCTACATCAAAATAAAAATCCTCATCTATTTACTGATGATGGGAAAAGATGACAGAGAATTCAAGAGAGAAGCTTCCATACTGCTCCAGGGTGAGGAGAGGGGAATTAGCCGCTTCCCACATTACTCCCTCCTTTAGTCTGGATTTAACAAACCTCTGGCTCTAGAGAGGCCGTGTGGAAGATCAACAAGCTACAGAACACTGTTACAAACTACGTATTACTTATTTTTCTGACGTGGCTGCCTCCCTCAGGCTGAGTTCGGGCGCTCGCA